CTATATTTTAAGTCAATTTTCTGTTTCAAAGAATAGTCAGTTACTTCCTATCCCAGGAGCTTTGCTTTCTTGAGGAGGCACAAGTTGCTAGAAATATGGGCTTTGGCCAAGGCAATGATAGTAGCAAGGGACAGGACTCCTCAGCCATGACCAGACAGAGCACTGTTAGGATTCAGTGAGAAGCCTTCAGTGGAAGGAGGAGGCTTGGTCTTAGAATCATGCCCAGGGACAGACTCATCATCGCCTTGGAGTGAAATTAACCTTACCAGCCCAGTCAAAATCATTAAAAATTCATACAGTTTCTTGTATGATAAGGTTTTGTTTATATAAATTGGTGCTAGGGAAATCTTTCAGGGAAACAATGACATGGGTTATTTTAAATTATTAATCTCATTGGTCAGAAACCCAATCAGAATCATATTTGCACATAAAAAGCAACCTCTCTTCTTTGTTCAACTCTGTCTCATTTCTGCATGGGCCTCAGTGGATGATTTCTGAAGAAGCAGATGAAAACTCAATGCTTGCTAATTAGTCATTATTCCCTGTTTTCCAGGAAGCGTCCATATTTCTAAAAATTTATGGTCTAGTCCAAACTCTGATCAAGGTCACCATGAAACAAAGCAGGTATTCTGATATGGAGATGAAGCGAACGTGGAGTCCAGGCTGATTCTCAACCTACCTATGAGGTCAGGTGAAAGCTTCAGACATCAGTCCCCCATGTGTAACATCAGGACAAAATTAACTATCCATCTTCTTTTATAATTTATTAGAGTATCATATTAAATGTGAAACATGATTAAACTGCAGCATCACATTTGAGAGGCAAGTCATTATTACATGTAAACTTTAAATAGTGTTCAGGAAATAGCAGAATTATGAATAAATCCCCCATGAAAAAATTTAGGAGATTACCATTTAGACTCATGATATGAATGGAGCTTACTGCAGACTGATTTCTCCAGACAAGAAAAATTACAGTTATCTTTTCAAAAATAACCGTGTTGCTAAACAGGTTCCAGTTTTCCTCCTTAGGTATAAAAGTCTTCTTGCTGAAGTTTACATAAACCACACACTGCTCCTCTATCGCTAGCCAGCCACACAAAATCCTATATTGTATTTTTGTTCCTGATCAGAGACAAGTATGTAAGTTATTGATCCTTACAAAGTTCTAGAAAATGAAACCTCAGAATTATTATTTAGACAGAAATCTTCCCACTTGGCAAAGTTTAGCACCTGCTCCATTACTGCAAAGCCTAAATTCACAGGCTAATCCGCAGTGTGACTGGTCAGCTGATCCACAGAAATATTATTCGTGTTACTGAATGTGTATTTTTGTTATTGAAAAATTGAAACATCCGATCTTCTCTTTTGCTGTGGACAGTATCTAGTTACTGTACTAAAATATGGTTTGAATAAATTATCTTTAAATTGTTTTATATTTAATTGTCCCTAAATCCATAAGCATATTGTTTCAAGAGTACATTTCAGTGATATTTTAAGTACAAGGGAAGTAGTTAGAAAATAGAACACTGATTACTAGATTTGTATAGTAAGCACTATATCCCAGTAAAGGCCAGGGCTTCGGAAAAACACAGAGTAGATTTCTCACTCCTGGTTTCAGCTTTTATGAACTGTAGGCTCACTACTTAACCGCACGGAGTCTCTTTGTTAGAAACCCCCGATAATAGCATCTACTTTGCAGGTCTACTATGAGAACTGGATGAAAATACAAATAGAAGAATATAAAGATAAGAAAGAAAATCAATACACTGTAGTGAAGCCATTATAATTGCTATGATTAATTTCATTATATAATACCAGGTAGAATTTCTACAGGGTATGGATTTATGGAATCAACATTCTTGTAACAAGGCTTACAGGCTCTTTGAACATAGACAAGTAAGGGCACTTTTGTAGAATGTAGAGCAGGAAGTGAACGATACTTGCAATATTGGAGTTGACGTTTTGGCCCCTCAGGGTAGGAAATGATGAGAGGAGAGGCCAACAGCTCTAGAAAAACTTAAGAGAGGGGTCAATGCTATGCAAAGCAGAACACAGTGTTGGGGAAGCAACAGCATGAATTTAAATATCAAAGGTGGAGCATCTCTGGGAACCGAGAGGATCCCAGGTGGTCACTTGACTGGACTTTGAAAATGGAGGTGAAACTGAGACTAAAAGACTGAGGCATTGGCTCATCCCTCCTAGGATGCTGGGCCAGGGGAGCAGGGTGGCATGACCATGACATCATCACAGAGCCTCAGCCTGAGCCAGAAATCGTCACAGCCCCTTGATGCAGAGCAGTAGAGGTAGGGGTGCTTTTACTTCTCTGAAATCAGTTAGCCAAAGCCAAGATTAACTTCATGTATGAGTATATATAAATATATATATATACATATATACATAAAACTGGTAATATGAATAGAATAATCATGAAGCATTTAACATTTCTAAATATTTATGATCTGGCTACCGTTCTAAGTACTCTGTAAATGAGCTAATCTTCACAATAGGAAATAGATACTATTATACCACTGAATAGACATTACCAGTTGGCATAGGTAAGAATGAAGGAACCCAGGACTCCAGTGGGGCAGGCTGGCTCTGGAACCATCTCGTAGGCTCAAATGTTAATGCCTGTCAGCCATGCCTCACAGTTCCTAAGGATTACCACACGTCAGGCTCTGCTAAGACCCTACTATTAACACACCATTTAATCCCCAAAACACTCTATTTTGGTTTATGTTTGGGCAGATGCTACAGGTTGGTTTTCTTTGTGTTTTTCTGTTTTTTTCCACACTAAGCATATTTTTAAATGAAAAATTCCATGTAAAATTCCAGATTAATGATTCCTCTTGATTAAAACAACAACAACAACAAAAAAAAACTAGCCATACTGAGTCTCCACATCACCACTTGCCGGTAACTGGCATATGTGACTTCTGGCATGAATTCTGCCTCCCCCTTCCACTACCGTCCTCACCGCCCCTTAAGGGCCACATCTAACCTAACTTCTAATCACCTGTCTGATCACTGTGGACATATGAGTATGTGACACCTATCGTAATTATATCTGTGCATTAAAAAAAAAGAAAGAAAGAAAGCTAAAAAGCTGCAGGACTTAAATGTTTAGATTAGACAGTCCAGGTTCAAACTCCGAGTCCACATTCATAAGCTCCTCTTTTCTTGGGCAAATGTCTTAATCTCTTTAAGCCTCATTATTCTCACATCCAAAATAGGGTTACTAATAATGCTTAACTGAGAGTGTTCTTATGAAATAATTAAATCAGATAATGCCTGAAAAGAATTTAGCTTGGAATTCAATATTAATTTTTATTGCTGTTTTTACTACGAATACCAGGAAGTTGGTATATATAGGTCATATACGCCATCTAAAGCAATCAGGACCTCAGCACAGATTGGGGTGGATGAGGTTGTGTCTTGTGTTGAAAAAGGCAGAGGAGAGGAGCAGGTTGGGGGGATGGTGGGCCAGCATTGCTGCTGGCGGGAGTGCTGCCCAAGAACCATCCCAGAAAGAGCCCAGTGGCCATCATTCCCTGTGTGCCTTTGACTTTGTAAATGAATTTCTCATATAGCCAAAATGTAGTCACAGTGACACACTGAGTCACAGGTTTTTGTAATTCCACCGTTTTCTCAGTCCTGAGACAATGGATCCGTAATTTTTCCTCTGATAGGTGCATCTTTTGAGTTCCTTCACAAGGTCCTGTAACACCCATTCTACAGGGCTGCCACCTTGACCCTGGCCCACAGCTCCTCATCTGTGAACCAGACAACATACACCTTCACTAGCCTCTTTGTCTTCAACCTGTCCCTAACTTCAAGCCTCATGGCGAACTCTTCCAGCTCGAACTGTCCTCAACAGTGTTTGACATCACCTTGGTTTATGAAATTTTGCTGTGGCTTCCACCAGCCTCCAGAATAGAATCTGAATGTGCCAGTCATCGCTGGGGTTCCCGGCTGGCACCTGGGGTATTTATCCACACTTGCACCTCTGACTGCCCCCAGCACGGTGTCTTTGACACCTCCCTGTCTGTGCTCACTCCTCTGCGTGGACTGGATGTGCTCGGCGTGCCTGCCCTCTATTGCATCCACATCACATCCAGCCAAATCCCATGCAGCCAACGCACTGGAACCTGACACTGTCTATCAGGGGTCAGCAAACCTCTTCTCTAAAGAACGAGTGAATTCATATTCCAGTCTTTGCAGGCCATCCAGTCTGTTTCCCACCTACTCCACTCTGCCCTTAAAGCAGGAAAGGAGCCGTAGCCAACAGTTACAGAAATGGGTGGGGCTGGGTCTCCATTAAACCTTATGGACACAAGGATCTAAATGTCATGAGTCACACAATATTATTCACCTTTTGATTTTTCCCAACCATTTAAAAATGTAAAAACCATTTTTGGCTCATGGGCTATACAGAAACAAGCAGCGGCCACAGCAGACCTTAGTTGACTGACTCTTGCTTTCTATGCATACTGTTGGCTGATCCACTCTCTTTTTTCACTTTTTAAAACTGAAGTATAACTTCCACTTGGCAACTTTAAGCACAGCAATCTTAAACAAACAGCCCAGTGAGTATTGACTTGTGTATGTGGCCATGCTACTGTCAAATAGATGAAGATATAAAACGTTTCCAGCAGCCTTGGGCTCCTAAATGGTCCCTTCTAATCATACCCCAACAGAAGTCCAGCCTCTGTTTTTTTTTCTTTGTTGCCAAAGCAGTCTCCATGCTTCCTTTCACAGGCCTGGATAAAGCAATGGGGAAATGACCCTCTGCAATCCAAACTTTCACAGAGCAGAAAGAAACCCAGAAGACAAAGGTGTGTAAATGAAACTTCCGGTATCATTAGCTATTACGGCCACGGAGAAGAATGTCTTTTCTTTTCAACGACTGCTGATATATGATTAGAAAAACTGAAAGGCAATATGCTAGTACCCATTCATTTTCCCAGCAGTCTCGTGCTGACACTGCATTTCCTTACCTGGGTCAAGGTGAGCGTTGCCTGTCTGCAGGTGCCGCACTGTACCCTGAGTTTTCCCGGCTGCACTTTTTGACAGGGGCCTTTGCAATAAACATAAAAGCTGTTGTAGACTGGTCTACCTGCTGGGGAAGAAAAAGCAGAGGAAGTGGCTAATAATTCTGAATCCAAATTGAGACAAGAAATTCTTTTAAAGCTTGTGAGAGGCAAATTTTAAAACTCAGTCCTCAGGAACATTTTGAAACATTACTGGAATAAATATTCCAATGAGAATACAACAATTTAATTTAGAAAGTCTAACTTTACGCTCCAAGAATGAAATCTTTTCTTTCTCTTGCCAACAGGCCTGTGACTTACTCAGCAAAGTAAGCAGCCTGCTGCCAAGAGAACCGGCCAAGTGTATTTACAATACAGTAAAATCAAAGGCACTCTCTGCTGTGGAAGTTTTAAAAGATGACAGGAATTCTTCCAGGATGCTCCTGAATTCTATTTCATGCTTCTGGACACAGTTTTGAAGACTGTAGATTTTCCGTCTCAAAATCTTATCTGTAGAAGAAAACCAGCCCATTTCTAATGATATGAATGATATGATCACAGTTTGCTGGGTTTCCAGGGAAAACTTTCCAACTCACAGTCACACATGAAATAAGAAAAGAGGCCAGCCCTGAGGGGCTTTCACAGGCCAAGCAGCTATGCACAGAAATGGAGGGTTTGCATTTCATTTATGATCTCTCTCACTAGGCAAACACCATTCAAACAATACATTTTCAAGAGACCATACAGGGATAGTTACTCCCTAGTAAACGAGGGAAATTTAATCATTTTAGACTTCCACATCTGTTACGAATTAACTTTATTAAGAATCACTTATCAGTATTACAACCTCCTTCCTGAATTTCCAACTTTTGAAAATTACTAAATAGTTTCTTCCTTTAATCCTTACCTGGGTAGGGTAATATAACAGATCATGACATAAAAGTTTCTTTGAAATATTACCACAATCATCAGAGGCATCTAGAAATAATAGTTAAGTATATTTTTAACATTTGGAATGAAAATGTTCAGCCTCCCAAATGCATAAGGTCTATTCTAAACAACTAGAACAAAAATAAGGAAAAAAACGAGAGCTTCTAGAGCCCTTTGCATCTCCATTTGTTTCACTAATTTACAAAAAGAACTTCCGCAGACATACTGGATTATCATTTGTTTAGCCACCTTTGCTAATCTTGTAGGTGACAATACTTTGCAGAATTTGAAGTACAACAAAGATGGAAAGTTTTATACTTTTATAATTTATTTGCAAAATATTTTATAATTATTACTCTGTAAAGATTAATATTTAGTTTCCAGTGGGAAATGGAAGATGAAATGTAAATCCATGTTTGCATTCACGTCAAAGTACTATTTTCTAACACCTCCGTGTAACTTTAATGCTCTAATGTAGAAGATGTTCAAGTACAGGCCGGGCGTGGTGGCTCACGCCCATAATCCCAGCACTGTGGGAGGCCGAGGAGGGTGATCACAAGGTCAAGAGATCGAGACCATCCTGGTCAACATGGCAAAACCCCGTCTCTACTAAAAATACTAAAACTAGCTGGGCATGGTGGTGCGCGCCTGTAGTCCCAGCTACTCGGGAGGCTGAGGCAGGAGAATTGCTTGAACCCAGGAGGCAGAGGTTGTGGTGAGCCGAGATTGTGCCATTGCACTCCAGTCTGGGTAACAACAGTGAAACTCGGTCTCAAAAAAAAAAAAAAAAAAAAAAAAAAAGATGATGTTCAAGTACATAATGTCACATTGCTATTAGCAAACATAATAATCACATAAAATATTTCATATGTAATATAAGTACAGCACAGAATCATATATTGTTATAGAAATATCTGTAACATAACTGAAATATTTGTAATACATAACTAAATGATAATAGAAATATTTGTAACAAATATTTGCAACAAATATTTGCAACATGCAGAGTATCAAAAGATCACAAGAACTGTGATAATTTTAATGTGCACTAAGAAGTGCTTGGTGAAGGATGTAGGAAGCTTTACTGTTAAAACCTTTATCAGCAATATGAACAAATCCAATTTCACAACTTTTATAACCTACAGTAAAGGTCAATCAATAAAAAAAAAAAAGAGGAGGAAGAAAAGGAACAGGAAAAGCAAAAGCTTTCCAAGGGGAGACAAGGTTGCAAAGACACTAGCACTATTGAAACAGTATATTAGCAAGAATTTTACAATATTAAAAGAAGCATCTCAGAAACTGCAGGAAACTAAAAGACTCTTCTCTCTCCCTTAGGGCAATAGCGATGTTTGCGGTATTGTTTCAGCTAATGACATATCAAGGCAGAATCTGAAGACTAAGGAAAGCTTCCACCTCAGAATGCTACAACCTTCGCTAAAGTCCTTCAGAAGTTATTCAGAAAATACTGCATGCCAATGTCTGTGCCCTAGAAGCATACAAGATGACATGCAATCTATTTCACACATTGCTTTCCAGAGCCAGCAAGTTGGGGATTAATAGCCAGCCTAAGGAAGATCAAGGTCAGGCCAGTCCTGGCTGCGGCACTTTTCAAGCTGTTGGCTTCACTTGGTCAAGCAGCTGGGGCATCAGGTAAATCTTGAGAGCCCCGCTTCAGAGTGGCATCCCTATTTATTTGGCTACATAACACAATTAAAAGTTGGCAAGGTTTTCTGTGTCATGCTGTGACCTGGACAGCCATGAAAACAAATAACACCCTGACGATCATCTGGGCAATGTTCCCATCGGCCTGGCTGAAGGGCCTGAGGTAGAAACTCTTGAATATGGAGTCATAACTCTTAGAGAAATGGCGAGGCAATTCCAAAATGACCTGAAACACCTTTCTTGAGGTGTGTAGCTGTCCCTAGTCAAGAGCGGGAATCTCCCCCGTTCACTTCTTCTTGGGTCTTAAAATCCTTACTCTCTCTTAGTCAACTCTTCTGTGTGGCAGCTTCTTGATTATCCCAATAACTAAAGTAGCTCCGTTTGTGTTCATATGAGTTTCCTCTATTTGTATGGCAAGTTTGGACACATAGAGAACTTTTTCATAAATTGTACAAATCACATCCTTCATTGCAATTCATCACTTGCAGCATTTCGGTGTGTTTGGGTGCCCTGCGTGCGTGTGTGTTAGTGTATGTGTGTGACTCTGTGTGTGTGTGTGTGTGTGTGTGTAGCTGTATACACATATACTACATATATAAATTATTTGCTTGAAGGATCTGTGATGAAGTTTCAGATATCACGTTACTTCACCCCTAAATTCTTCAACATCCTGAAACTGTGGATGTTTTTCATATGAAACCATTCAGCCTTTTAAGTGATTTGGTTATTTCGGTAGTTCTATTTGTAGCCTAATCAGACAATGACAGTGGTTTGCAAACTAATTAAAGATGACAATCCAAAATATCGGGGATTCTCTGGTCAAGCCAACTAGACGGTGCTAAGTGAAGCCACGTTAAACAAGTCCCCTGTCCATCGCCCTTCACAGAGCTGCATGACTCTGTAAGAAAGGAAGGATAAGGCACAGCACATCCCAATCTTCTGCTGACCACAGAAGCCTTCCTGGAATGCTGCATCTTGTGAAATTGTACTTCGCAGAAAAAAAAATTGGAAAAAATTATCAGAGGAAGGATTCAATCTACTTGTAGGACTTGATTTATAGAAAGTAAAACTGCTCAAGTTTATAAACCCAGATTTACCAAAATCTCCTGGAGACTTGCCTAGGGCCAAGTTCTCTCCAACGCAAAACATCAATGAACTTACATCATTATTTTGTCATGTGCCAGAAGGTTAAGTCTACTCATGTAATGATTTTACAAATAAAGTATGCTAATTTCATTCAGTAGTAGTTCTTTTTTTTTTTCCTGCAGAGAAGTTAAAAAAATAAAAGTGCAGTGAGTTCAGGGCCCTTTTAAAGTGCGAGCCACTGTGGCCATTCAGAGGGTCCACTGGCTCCTACCACTCCTTAGCCCCAGAAGTCCATCTCCCTCTTCAGTTTTCTCTCCCACTTTGCCTAACAGAACACTCAGTTAAGCCTTTTCTTTTCTTTTCTCGGTCCAAAAGGTTGGTGAAATAATTAACAATATTCACAACGTATCCAGAAGAACACATATGTGAAAAGAACCTATTTTATTTGCTTTGGATTTTTTTATAAACCATCATAAACTTTAGAGTTATCATTTTTCTTTTATGTATTTTAGATAATAGGCTTAAGCGCTGAGGACAGGATACTGAGGAAGAGTCATTTTGATTCTAAGGGAAACTTTCCATTAACCTCAGAAGTTTCCATTACTGGTTGTCACTGAATTTAATTGCTTGGATAATTTGTTTTCTAGGTGGGGAGAGAGTAAGATTTGACATATTTCATATCTTGATAAAATACTGTTCGGTATCAACATATTATAAAAGAGTAAAACAGCAGGAAAAGAACTGATTTAAAGTGATATTTATCACATGAGCATATTAAAATATTAAGTAGAACAATGCTACCCAAGAGAACTCTCTGTAATGATGAAAACACTCTCCATCTGCACTCTCATATATATATATAATATATATATTACACACACACACACACACACACACATATCGTATGTAGCCATTAGCTACCACTACCTATGGAGAATTTCAAAGTCGGTGAGGAATTACTCTCTGAGTTGTATTAATTTAAAGTAATTTCAATGTAAATAGCTGTATGTGGGTAGCAGCTACCAAACTACAAAGCACAGAAGAAGAGAATAAAAAACACTGGTGTGTCTTCCTCCCCCAGCAAGAATGTAGGTAACTGACAATGCTGAGACTCACTGCGCAGTAAAACAGCTTGTTTCAATCTGTGCTAAGAGAAAAACAATGTTGGCTCGAGGGAAGGGGAAAGAAGGTTTAACCTGTGGTACTGGGAGTAGGACAGAGGCAGGTAGGGACTCTGCAGTGCTAGAGGCAGAGCAAAACTTCTTGCTGTCATGTGCCCTATTTCCTACACCAAAGGGATCAATTCTTGAGATGCACCTGGACAGCAAATTTCCCATCCCCATTTCCATTGCTACCTTTGAAATCTGACCCATATGCTCGAGGTACAGATAGAATGGCACTCCCTGTAAGA